TATAACGAATATATAAAATTAAATATAATAAGTCAAAGCATTAAGAGATATGGCTCTAGGAAGACCAATCATTAAGACAAAATGGCCACAGTCAGCCATTTTGAATAGGATAGTCAAACCAATATATCTGATAATCTATGACATGATGTATAATGAATATTTAAAATTTGAAAATATTATCAGTCAAAACAAGTCGGAGATATGGGTCTAGAAGCCCATTTATTAAAACAAAATGGCAGCCAGACAGCCATTTTGAATCCGATCTGAAAAATAAATAATGTGCATCAGGAACCTGTAATGTCTAATATATGTACCAAGTTTGAACGAAATCCCTCCATAAATGCCAGAAATGCTTGATATTTGATGATTGTTTAGCACAAAAAAGGCCACCATTTGGCCATTTTGAATAGGATCGTCAAACCAATATATCTGTCTATCTATGACATCATGTATAATGAATACTTATAATCAGTGAAAGCAAGTCAGAGATATGGCACAAGAGCCACATTCATTAAAACAAAATGGCCACCAGTCGGTCAATTTGAATCTTATCTGAAAAACAAAATTATTTTCATCAAGGTCCCATAACGTCTAATGTATATACCAAGTTTGAACAAAATCCATCTGTAAACAGCCGAGAAAAGCTTGATTTTTAGGATTTTTTAGCACAAAAATGGCCGCCATTCGGCCATCTTGAATCAGATCGTGAAACAAAATGATGTGCTTCAAGGTCCCATAATTTCTAATGTATATACCAAGTTTGAACAAAATCCATCTGTAAACAGCTGAGAAATGCTTGAATTTGATGATTTTTAGCACAAAAATGGCCGCCATTCGGCCATCTTGAATCAGATTGTGAAACAAATTGACGTGCATATGTATAATATCATGTATGATGTATGTGTGAAGTTTGATTGTGATTGGTCCAGGCATTTCTGAGATACAGGTCCGGACAAACTTAAATATCAATTTCATAAGTCTTCACAGAATACAGGCAAACTTACTCTTTCAAGTTCATCCCCTAACCATTCAACAGCCCAGGTCCATTTTCTCTTGAGATCACCATTTGATTGTAACATTTGATGTGCAGCAGGACAATTACTGAATAATGCTACCATACATTTTATACACTGGTAAGCACGTTTCTGATAGTGATTCTTTGAACGTTGGATTGTATCAAATAAACCTTCACGGTCATCAGGAATACCTAATACGAACAAACACAAAGTTTCATGTTTTTGAGGTGGGTGTTTAAGAGTAATAGACAATGTACAATGTCTCCATGACCTCTGCGTATTTTGAGACCCATAATGCAATCCAGAAGTACATTTTTTGATGGACTACATTTAGAAGGTGACAAATTAATAGACAATCAAGTTAAACAAGCAGCCTCTCGGCTGAAATAGCTCCGCTGTTAGCACTGCGCATTTCAATTAAAGAACAGAATATATCATTAGAAAATGAACAATATGCATAGTATCAATGCAATGGGACTTGCTGTTTGCAACAAGAATTCAAAAATATAATTTTTAACCATAAATGATTGTGGTTTTTAACAAGAAGAAAATATCACTTTTTACCAAAAATGACAAAAATATTCATCAAAATTAGAGAATTGAAGATATCATCATGAAATGAACAAATTTGAGAGTGGTCCATATGTAGTACCTATATATGTAGTATCAAAGCAATTGGACTTGCGGTTTTTAACAAGAAGTCGAAAATATCACTTTTTACCAAAAATGACAAAAATATTTACCAAAATTAGAGAATTAAAGATATCATTACAAAATGAACAAATCTTAGAGAGACACACATGTACCGTTAAAATCCTATTATAAACCGCATACCTAATAGTAACCGCACCCCCGATTTCGGCTTCAGTGTTGAGTTCTCAACAAAAATTGAAAACATGAAAAGTACCTATTACTAACCGCACCCCCAATTCAACAAGACCGTGACTGACTTCATTGTTTCAACCAGCTGTTCCAAAACAGCATTGTTCCTAATCCTATTCATTTGTTTCAACAACGTGCCTAAAAATATTCACACCTCTTTATTGTTCAGTAGTGTTAGGATGTCAAACACGCAGTGAAACTGCTTTTGTTCTTGCGACAACTTTTGTCAATACTCCTTATGAATACATCCACGTGTCGCAAGTTTTCGACAATGAGCTGTTATCACCGAAAAACTGTTAAATGCTTTTTCAATGCTCAGTTTATCTTTCGAAAACAACTAATTTCTTAATTTAAACAAGCAGCCTCTCGGCTGAGATAGCTCCGCTGTTAGCAATGCACATTTCGATTAAAGAACAGAAGATATCATTAGAAAATGAACAATATGCATAGTATCAATGCAATGGGACTTGCTGTTTTCAACAAGAATTCAAAAATATCATTTTTGACCATAAATGATTGTGGTTTTTAACAAGAAGAAAATATCACTTTTTACCAAAAATGACAAAAATATTCATCAAAACTAGAGAATTGAAGATATCATCATGAAATGAACAAATTTGAGAGTGGTCACATGTAGTACCTATATATGTAATATCAAAGCAATTGGACTTG